CTCTCTAGCGGCCCCGCCGCCTACTCTGCCGCGGCCCCGCCCCGTCTCTCACGCGGCCCCACCCCGGCTCTTACACGGCCCCGCCCCGGCTCTCTCGCGGCCCCGCCACCCTACCTGCAGCAGCCGAGCCGCCCACCTGCAGCAGCCGAGCAGCAGTGCAGCCGAGCCGTCCTGCCGCCGAGCCGCCCGGGAGTCGAGCCGCCCTGCCGCCGAGCCGCCCGGGAGCCGAGCCGCCCAGCAGCCGAGTCGCTGAGTCGCCGAGCCGCCCTTCTGCAGAGTTGCCCGACCTGCCCTGCCTGGTGAGCGCAGTCCCACTGTCACTGCGTGCTCTTACCCTACTGCTTGCACTGCTTCGCTGTCGTCGTCATGGCTACCCCTACTGTCCTAGCTTTTGACGCTGAGGGTCGCGCCATTGACTTTGAGGTCTAGGTAGACGACCTACAGTTATTTTTACAGTGCGATAGGGCAGACGGCCTCTCTCTCTTTGACCTTACCTCTGGCGCCTCTCTTGCTCCTGCTGCTGATGCTGATCCCACTGTGCGCTCTCAGTGGGCCACCCGCGATGCTGCTGCACGTCTTGCTGTGCGTCGCCACCTCCCTACCTCTGAGCGCGCGCACTTTAGTCAGTACAAGAGTGCTCAGACCTTGTACGACGCTGTAGTTGCGCGCTACTCCTCCCCTGCCACTGCTGCACTGAGCCGTCTCATGCTTCCCTACCTCTTTCCTGACCTCTCTGCCTTTCCCACTGTCGCTGACCTCATTACGCACCTCCGCACTAGTGACACTCGCTACCGCGCCGCCCTTCCTGCTGAGTTCTGCGCTAAGAACCCCCCCCCCATGTACATCACTCTCTACTACGTAGTCGCGCGCCTCCCTGACTCCCTTCGCGTAGTCAGGGACCACTTTCTCGCAGTCTGTCCCACCACCCTCACCGTTGACCTCCTCGAGAAGGCCCTCCTTGCAGCGGAGAAGAGCATAGTCGCTGTAGGAGCTTCTCGTGGTGACCCTCGCACCCCCATCTTTGAGGGGTGCTCTCCTTCCCCCTTGCTGCCCTCTGTTCCCTCTGCTGCTGCTGCCGACCTGCTTGGTCTTGAGTCGGTCGGCGCGGCGTCTGCCCCTAGTGGGAGACATCGCACTGGCAAGGGCAAGGGGGGCAAGGGCGCGGGTGGAGCTGGAGGGGGCGGTGGCGGGGGCGGCGGAGGCGGCGGAGGGAGTGGGGGTGGCGGCGGGAGTGGTGGCGAGGGTGGTGGCGGTGGTGGCAGCAGCGGCGGAGACGGCGGTGGTGGTGGCAGCGGTGGTGGTGGTGGCAGCGGCGGAGGTGGCGGCGGCGGAGGAGGCAGCGGAGGAGGCGGTGGTGGTGGAGGGGGTGGAGCTGGTCGGAGTGGTACCCAGCAGCGGAGCGGCGGTGGTGGTGGCCAGCGCTCGCAGCGGCAGCAGCAGCAGCGTTCGCGGGACATCCCTCCGCCTCACCAGCTTCGTGAGTGGTACACTCAGCGTCAGAGGGGTGGGGGTACTGGTCCTTGCACCTACGTCCTTCGTTCCAGCGACCGCGCGGGTGAGCAGTGTGGGGGTGCCCACCCCGCCCAGCGCTGCTTTGGCCGCCTGACGGACGCTTGGCGTCAGCAGTTCCCCGGGGCTAGTGAGATCCCTCGCTGGGATGAACTTCTTAGGGCTGGTGTAGCGATCTTTGATCTTGATTTTGATGCTATCCTTGCTGCTATGTATGCTGTGTCTATTAGTGAGGAGAATGAGGGTTACCGGTGTTTCCAGCCCGACGCGGGCATTGGCACTGCTGCGCTAGGCGCTTGTGAGGCTGCTGCTCTAGGTGCCAGTGCGTCTGCGCTCTCAGGTACTGGTGAGACTGCGCTCTCAGGTACTGCGTCTCCCTCGTCCTCCCTCACTTTCACACTTGACTCCGGGGCTTCTCGCTCCTTCTTTCGAGACCGCACCACCCTCACGCCGCTTGGCCGGCCGGTTGCCGTCTCCCTGGCTGACCCTTCTGGGGGTCCTGTCCTCTATCACTTTTCCACTGTCCTCCCGTGTCCGGCTGCCCCTTCGGGCACCCTGTCTGGACTGTACCTTCCCTCGTTCTCTACGAACTTGGTGAGTGGTGCGGCCCTGCAGGATGCGGGGGTTCACCAGTTCACTCCTGCGAGTCAGCGGGTGACCCACTGCACGGACGCACGCACAGGCCGGCACCTGACCACGTTCTCACGTCGGCCGGGGTCGAGCCTCTACACCCTGACCACTACGTCTCCTCCTGTCCCTGCGTCTGGTCAGGTAGCTGCGTCAGGTCAGGTGTTTGCTGCTGCGTCCCGGTCAGGTCCTGAGTCTGCCCCCAGTTCTTGTCGCCTCCTGTCTCACGAGACTCTCCTGTGGCACCACCGTCTTGGCCACCCGTCCTTGCCCCGTCTTCGGAGGAACAGGTGCAGATCATCAAGCCAGGTATCAAACTTAATCGGGCGGCCCTCAGAATCGAACGAGAGAACTGTAGGGCTAGCCATAGCTGAAGTAGCAGTAGCAGCAGTGGTGGTAGTAGCAGTAGCAGTAGCAGTAGCAGTAGCAGTAGCAGTAGTAGTAGCAGTGCTGTGCACAGGTAAGTAGGGCGCGGCTCGGCTAGGGCGGCGCGGCTCGGCTAGGGCGGCGCGACTCGGCTAGGGCGGCGCGACTCGGCTAGGGCGGCGCGGCTCGGCTGGGGCGGCGCGGCTCGGCTGGGTCGCGCGGTTCGGTTCGGGTCGCGCCGTGCGGCTCGGTCGTAGAGGGGCGAGCGCGGGAGGGCCGGTCGGGGCTAGCGCGGGAGGGCCGTGAGAGGCTAGCGCGGGGCCTGCAGGGGCCGTGGGAGGCTAGCGCGGGGCCGACGGGGGCCTTAGGAGGCTAGCGCGGGGCCGATCGGGGGCCTTAGGAGGCTAGCGCGGGGCCGACAGGGGCTTAGGAGGCTAGCGCGGGGCCGATCGGGGGCCTTAGGAGGCTAGCACGGGGCTAGCGTGGGGCCGAAGGGGGCTTAGGAGGCTAGCGCGGGGCCGATCGGGGGCCTTAGGAGGCTAGCGCGGGGCTAGCGTGGGGCCGACGGGGGCCTTAGGAGGTTAGCGCGGGGCCGATCGGGGGCCGTGAGAGGCTAGCGCGGGGCCATACGGGGCCTTGAGAAGGAGGCGCTCGAGGCGCAGTAAAAAGAACGGCGGCGCACGAGGGCGCGGCTAGCGGAAACGGTGGGCCCTATCGTTTCGGTCCTAGGTGGAACCTAGGCTCGTAATACCATGTCAGAATGAGAAACGAGAATGAGGGGTGACTAGCAGGAACAACAGTACAAATATGTCAAACCCTAATCTGGTGTACCCCTTATGGTGTGACCCACTACAGCCTAGAACCACACAAACATATAAATGTTTGACACACATTCTGAGCACAAGTTCAAGAAGAAATAGTTTAGAGTTTACAATTATAAGCAAAGCTAGTGGTAGTCACAACGGGCAAGTGAGGAGGAGGAGGGAGAGTGAGGGGAGAGGAGACAGGAGGCGACGGCTGAAGCTGCAGACACACGGGCAACAGGAGGCAGACTGGCACAGCGGCTACCGGACAGCGCCCGGACTACAGGAGTAACAGGCCCTGCGGCTCAAATAGCGGCGGACGGGCAACGGACCCACGGGCGGCTGGCACAGCTGGCTACGACTGGGCTACCGGGACAGCGCCCCGGACTACGGGTGCTGCTGACGACAAACTGGCAACCTCCGCTCATCCTCCCGCACACAGTCCCACCCCCCTGATACACACCCACTGCTACACCACTAGCTCTACTCCCACACACCCCCCTTAAACCCTAAACCCAGTCTCCCACACAACCACCCCCCTCAGCGACAGCTGCAGCAGTGGGAGACGAAGGAGGAGGAGGAGAAAGGGAGGAAGGCACACCGACCACCCCCATACCCGCAAGCGGCCCCCTCAGGTCGCCACGACGGACGACGGGAATTGGGGGGGAGGGGAGAAAAAGGGGGGGGGGGGGGGTTACGGGGCCGGGGACGCGACGAGGGGCGGGGCCGCGACGGTCGGGGCGGGGCCGCGACATAGGGCGGGGCCGCGACGTAGGGCGGGGCCGCGACATAGGGCGGGGCCGCAACGTTGGGCGGGGCCGCGAAGGTAGGGCGGGGCCGAGCCGGGCAGGCGCACGGGCGGCGACGGGCCGGGGCGGGGCCGCGACGAAGGGGAGAAGCCCGCCGCGCGCCTCGGGGCGCACAGCGGGCAATGAACCGCCGCGCGCCTCGGGGCGCACGGCGGGCAGAAAACCGCCGCGCGCCTCGGGGCGCACGGCGGGAGGAAAAATTAGCAGCGGAAGCAAGGTGGGGACACACCCACAGGATCGATCCAGGGGGATCGACCTGCTCTGATAGCATGTCAAAATTAGAAGAAAGAAGGAGGATTGAACTAGCAAGAATGAGGATACAAATAGCAAACCCTAGAAGGGTTGTACTCGCTATAGAGCACCCCACTACAGGCTAGAACAATAAGATAATATTCTGACAGAAATTGTATGAAACACAACTACCACGTATACAATCATAAAAATTTAGTAACATGTCAACTATATCTTAAAACATCTGTATTTCATGATCATTTTAAAACATGGAAATCGCACAATTTACTACAATCCAACAACGACAAACAAATTAAAGTCGTTCAAAAATTCTTACGCATGTTACGAGTGTTGCTTCGCAACCCTAAGACGATTTCGTCGCCTCTTGTTTTTCTTGCACGCGGGCAGATCGCTTCCGCGAGCACGCGGAAGCGGTCGCGGACTCGCCCGTGTTTTACTGTTCCTGCTCGTATGAACCTTTGAATTCCAGTGCTACTGTAACTTGGCCGTAGGCTAAAATCGACGGCATGGATTTCTCCTCTTTATTATTGTTCGAATCGGTTTGATCGCCAGAGGCGAACCCAAATTTCGCGTCGCATCGCCGTGGCACTCGAGGTGTGGTGGAGTGTTGATTCACTGAATCGGGATTCAGAAACTAATGGTGCTGGATTTCTCCCGCCAAAACCTGGCATTGCCACATGCGCAAACCCGATGGAGGGAGAGAATCCAGCACACAAATACGCTCTTCAACAATCCTCGAAAGCCGCTCTGAAGAGAAAAAATTGCGCAACTACTACAAATCATATATCAGATCGTTCGTGGCAAAAACAGAACCAGGATAAAGGGGTTGTCATCGACACCTCAACCAGGCAACCCTGAAATTCCACACCTACAACTAAATGCGATATATATGTACAGCAACTCGCTCATGAAAAGGAGCCCCATCCTCTTTGCCTCCAAGGCCCCCCTTGATAATCACCTCTGAAAATGTCCCTCCTCCGGATCCCTTCGCAAGGTGTCCAGGGTTAATGCACACAGGCTGAAACACCGAACTGGCTCCTCTGGCTCCAGCCACTGCTGCTTGTGCCACTGCTTCTGGTGGTGGAGATGCTGATGTTGCTGTTGCTTGTGATGCTGCTTCTGGCATAGCTACGTGCACTTCAGCTTTCGCTGTTGTTGATGCAGGCACAGCTGTTTCCTGCTGTAGTGCAGCTTGTCCGTGTGGCGGTGTTTGCTTAGGCAAAACCTGAGCACGAAACCAACAAAGAAACCAACACACTCGCACACACACGACGCATGCGTGCACACACACAAGAGGAGGTAAAATGAATGGGAGGTGCAGGGCTTGGGTCCAGCAGGGAAGGCAGGTGGGAGTGGAAGAAGGGGGTAAGGGAGAGGAAGAGAGAATGGAGAAGCGAAAAGAAGGGGAGAGGAGAGGTGAGCGCAAAGAGCGTATACCTTGACAAAACGGACGGGGTCTGTTGGGAGGACGAGGAGGTGGGGAGCAAAGGGGAAGAGCAAGACTTGGAGGGAGCAGAAGAGATCGAGGCATGTGGCGGTGGGGGTGGCGGGGAGGCAGAGGAAGAGAGTGTGGAGAAGTGAAGAGAAGTGCAGAAAGGGGCGGGGGCAAAGAGTCCTTACCTTGACGAAGGGGACAAGATCAGATGGGAGGAAGAGGTGAGGGGGGAATGGAAGGTCCAGGGCTTGGGGGCAGCAGGAGAGATCGAGGCAGGTGGCAGGTGGGGGAGGGACGAGGGGGGGTGTTGGAAAAGGAAGAGGGCAGCATGTGGGTTGTGAAATAGGAGGGCTCACCTTCACGAACGGAACGAGGTCAGAAGGGAGGAAGAGGAGGTGAGGGGCAAAGGGGAGGTCCAAGGCTTGTGGGCAGCAGGAGAGGTCGAGACAGGTGGCAGGTGGGGGAGGGAAGAGCGGGTAGAAGCTCCTCTGGCCAATCATGTGCGCCGCCAGCCTGGACATGCGGTCTGACGTGGCGCTGTCTCCTGGCGCCACGCGGGCGATCTCCTCCTTGCTGAGGTGGCGGAGGATGTCGGTGGATGAACAGGCAATGCCAACCTGTAACAGAAGTTGAGAGGTGAGTGTGCAGAGGAAGACGATGATTTGAAGAGAGGAGAGTGAAGGGAGGGAACACTATTGGAGACCTCCTTGCTGAGGTGGCGGAGAATGTCGGTTGAGGAGCAGGCGATGCCAACCTGACGGGGAAGGGCAGGGGGGAAGGGAGGGCGGAGGGAAAAGAAGAGCAGGGGTAAGTAGAGAGGGGAGGAGAGTGAGTGTAGAGAGAAGAGAATTCGAGAAGGACAGGGGGAAAGGGCAAGCAAGAGTGCGTGGAGGGAGAAGAAACATGAGAAGAGCAGAGGAGTTACTCAGACTGACATGGCAACGTCTACCATATGTAAGCAACCCCTCCGCATCTACCCGATTATCCAGTGTGGATGCGGAGGGGATTCCGCCTATACCTGGTCTTCCAAGTGTGAGGACGCGCTTTCGATGGATTTCAGATCAGTTTCAAAGTGTTACTTTTGAGAATTCTCGAAAACAACATAGCAGCGCCTACCTGGTTATCCAGAGTCAATGCGGAGGGGTTTCCGAGTGTGAGGACTTGCTTTTGAAGCCCCACGACACAATTTCTAGTCTCTAGAACCTCTCTCACAACATAGCAGCGCCTACCTGGTTATCCAGTGTCAATGCGGAGGGGTTTCCGAGAGTGAGGACTTGCTTTTGAAGCCCCACGACACAATTTCTAATCTCTAGAACCTCTCTCACAACAAAGCAGCGCCTACCTGGTTATCCAGTGTCAATGCGGAGGGGTTTCCGAGAGTGAGGACTTGCTTTTGAAGCCCCACGACACAATTTCTAATCTCTAGAACCTCTCTCACAACATAGCAGCGCCTACCTGGTTATCCAGTGTGAACGCGGAGGGGTTTCCGAGTGTGAGGACTTGCTTGCGGGGGTCTTCAAAGTCCGACGAGTCAAATGGAGGCTGCTCACACGCAGAGAGGGGGAGAGAGGAAGGGTCGTCCCAAACAGAGAGATGTAGATGGATATAGAGGGGTTTCGACGCATCCAGACTTGCTTTTGTGATTCTTAGTCAGACGAGTCAAAGGGAGGCTGCTCACAGGCAGGGAGAGGGAGAGAGTGAAAGAGGGGTTTGAAGGGATTGAAAGGAATTCAGTCAGAATCCGAGTCCAAGAGGGGTTTAAAGAATAATTGAGACATTTCATATGCCCATGCCCCATGTCTTGAAGATTCATAACTCATATCATATGCCCATTGTTAGCCTCTTCATTTGTAGGAGAGTATTAAAAATATACCCATGCCTCATATACCCGTGCTTCATATACCCGTGCTTCATATAACTGGCCTGATACGCCCGTGCCTAATATGCTCTTCCCTCGTATGTCCATGCTTCATATGTCCATGCCTCATATGCCCATGCCTCATACGCCCAGTCACATGTCATGGCACATGGTTGAATGAAACGATAGTAGGAGAGCAAGGGTATGAAGCAACAGGCACCTGAGAGGGCACATGAGATTGAACCTGAAATAGCACCTGAAAGAGTACAGAGCACGGGTGAGAGTGGCGCACCTGAAGAGGCACCTGAAGGAACACCCTGAATAGGCACCTGCAAGAGCACCTGAAGAGGCCGTGAGGGCACCTGAAGGGGCACCTGAGACCATACCTGAGGAAAGATCATGGTGTGGTGGGCGTCTCGCAACGACGGCAGCAATAACACCTTGCAGCTGCCTCCTGCCCGCTCACAATACTCCTCCACCTGAGGGGGTGGGGCGGGAGGGAAATTGGTTGGGGAGAGTATAGATTGAAATAATGTGATGTGCGTCTCACTGAGTGCGGCAACAGCATCTTGCAGATACTTCCTGCCCCCCCACAATACTCCACCTGAGGGAGGGGGGCGGGGGTTGAGTGGGGGAGGGAACGTATGCGGAGAGAATACACTGATCTGACATGATGTGACGCTGAAAGAGCGCCTCAAAAAGAAGCAACCAGCGCATCAGGATGTTCACATCACAGCATGCCCACAGCTATAGCATAAGTCCAATGGAGCCCCAGGTTGGAGCCATCTCTTTACGTGGCAACAACTTTGCTTAGTTAAAAAATAGTAGTTGTTTGTTTGCTTGAAGAAAAAGCTTTGTGAAAAACTTGGCGGTAACCGGTTTCGATTTCTGAGGCGCCTCAAAAGAAGCAACCAGCGCATCAGGATGTTCACATCACAGCATGCCCACAGCCATAGCACAGAGCCCCGCCCCTATGTCTGTGGCTGTGGGCCCCGTCCCTATGTCAGGACGTGCTGCTAAAATCCGCACACAGGTGAGGGGGGGTGAAGGGCGGGGCTCCCCATAGAAGCCCCACCGCTATGCGCGGACGTGCTGCTACAATCGAGCCTCCTATGTCTGGTCCACACACAACCGCCTCGTTTCCCCCTGATAGTTTCCTCTCTTCTCCCTCCCCCTGCCCTTCCCCATCCCTCCCCAAACACCTGTGCGCGGATGTGCTGCTGAAAGAGCGCCTCATAGGTCTGGTCCACACAGCCCCAAGAGTCAACACAGCCCCAAGAGTCAACACAGACTCATAGCATGCATGCCCTCATTTATACAAGCCCCCGCGTTGGGTCCCTCCCATCTCTTCCCCCACCCTTCACCCCCTCTCACCTGTGTGCGGATGTGCTGCGGAAAGAGAGTCTCATACGTCTGATCCGTCCCCTCTTCCCCGTGATCTGTCCCCCTTTGCCCCTCCGTCTTCCCCCCTCACCTGTGCCCGGATATGCTGCTGAAAGAGAGTCTCATACGTCTGATCCACACAGCCATCTCTTGCATCAGGATGCTCTCGATCGATGAAGGGGCCCATCTGACCAGAAAAGGGTGCGGAGGAGGAGGTGGGAGGAGGAGGGATGGGTGCGGGCGGGGTAAGAGTTAGAGAAAGGGAACCCAGCCCACGGTGAGTATACAAAAGAGCGCCTCCTATGTCTTGACTTTTGAGGCGCCTCAAAAGTTGCCTCATATGTCTGCTCCTCACAGCCGTCCCTCGCATCAGGACGCTCTCGGTTGATGAAGGGGCCGATTTGAACAAGGGGGGGAAACATAGGAGGAAAGTAGGGATAAAAGAGGAGGGCGGGGGGATGGAGACGCCTCATATGTCTGCTCCTTACAGCCGTCCCTCGCATCAGGACGCTCTCGGTCGATGAAGGGGCTCACCTGATCAAGCGAAGGAGCATAGAAGGGGTGGCGGTGCGGGAAGGGGGGGTGTATATGGGGATGGGGGAAGGGGGGGTCCATATGGGAGTGGGGGAAGGGGGGGTCAATATGGGGATGGGGGAGGGGGGGGTCTATATGGGGATGGGGGAAGGGGGGGTGTATATGGGAGTGGGGGAAGGGGGGGGGGTGTATATGGGAGTGGGGGAAGGGGGGGGGGTGTATATGGGGTGGGGGAAAGGGGGGGTGTATATGGGGGTGGGGGAAAGGGGGGGTGTATATGGGGGTGGGGGAAAGGGGGGGTGTATATGGGGGTGGGGAAAATGGGGGGTGTATATGGGGGTGGGGGAAAAAGGGGGTGTATATGGGGGTGAGGGAAAGGGGGGGTGTATATGGGGGTGGGGGAAAGGGGGGGTGTATATGGGGGTTGGGGAAAGGGGGGGTGTATATGGGGGTGGGGGAAGGGTGGTGTGTATATGGGCATAGATACGTATGGGCAGTCTACTAGTCTACTAGGTGCAGGCTTTCGGGGCTTCATTTGACACACCACCATACCAGCAGCAGCACATCCGGTGGTCGCTGCAGCGCAAATCTGATCAGGTCTTTGAGCGGGTCGAAGGACCACGAGTCAATCGTGGTGAAGGGGCCTGCTGCAGCGATCTGATCACACAGAAATTGAAGGGGGAATGAGAGGCGAAAGAAAGTTTTAGGAGAGAATCAAATGAGACCTCCCAGTGGGTCGAAGGACCACGAGTCAATCGTGGTGAAAGGGCCTGCTGCAGCGATCTGATCATGCACGAAGAAGAAGAAAAAATAAAAGCAAAAAGAAAGGAAATGAAAAGAAGAAAAAAAAAACAGGGAGAAAGAAATTATGGCGGGCTACGGACCAGGAAACATGATAGCAAAACACGTAGAATGCGGTGAATGGCGAAAATCATGGAAAGGTGAAAACCATGGAAAGGTGAAAACCATGGAAAGGTGAAAACCATGGAAAGGTGAAAACCATGGAAAGGTGAAAACCATGGAAAGGTGAAAACCATGGAAAGGTGAAAACCATGGAAAGGTGAAAACCATGGAAAGGTGAAAACCATGGAAAGGTGAAAACCATGGAAAGGTAAAAACCATGGAAAGGTGAAAACCATGGAAAGGTGAAAACCATGGAAAGGCGAAAACCATGGAAAACCAAGTGAAAGGTTTTCTACACCATGGAAACATGGTTCTACGCGATGCGGCTGCTGCGCCAGAGGGAGGTCGAAGGAGTCCTTGATTGCTCACTATTCCCTTTCGGGAAGCAATGGCAACAGGAGGAAGAGCAAGACAAAAAAGGCGGAAGTAGTGAATTTGGTGAGGAGCATAGGACACATGAGGGAGCAGGGCCAGAGAACTCACAATCTTGATCTCGTCATCGTCTGACTAGTCGACTCAAGGAAAACGAGGTGGCTTTTGAGTCGACTCAATAGTCACTTCAAGCAAGAGCACAAGTCACATGAGGAAGCAGGGCCAGCAAACTCACGATCCTGATCTCATCGTCTTCCTCTTCCTCCTCCATTCGCCTTTTGGCCTTAACACCCACAACAAGCACGAGAAACCAGTAACCTGGGAGGCTGCAACTTGCAAGTCTTATCGGCAGCAAGGAAGTTAGGCAAGGGAAGCAGGGCCAGCGAACTCACAATCCTGATCTCATCGCTGTCCTCCTCATCCTCTTCCTCATCACCCTCGGCCTTTACGCGAGACAAGGATGAGGAAGGGAGTGAATGAGGTGCGGAGAGGAGTGAATGACACAGGAGGAAAGAGGGCCAGAACTCACAATCCTGATCTCATCGTCGTCCTCCTCCTCCTCATTACCCTCAGCCTTTACACCCGCAGCACCGCTCTCCACCGCCCTGACTCCTTCTGAATCCATCTCCTCAGTCCCAGCTTCCTCTTTCTCTTTCACCTCAGCAGAACCACCATCCAGCTTTCCCTCTGTCCCCTTCTCCACTCCACCCTCCCCATCTATGTCACCACCGTCACCAGCAATAGCACCAGTATCACCGCCAGAACCAGCCTCAGCATCAGCAGGTTTTTTATCAGCATCACCCTCGACCTTAATCTCCTTCTTCTCCTCTTCCCCCACCTCCCCCTTCACCTTCCCACCCCCCACCTCCTCCCCTCCGTCAACCTTACTATCTCCCCCACCATCGCAGCTCGCCTCACCCTCATCCCCCCCATCGTTCTTCCGCATCTCCTCTATCTCATCAAGTGCTATCACATCCTCTAGCCCGAACGGAAGCAGATTCGCTTTCTTTCGTCCATCCCCCTTCTCCTTCCCCTTCCCTTCCCCTCCCCCTCCCCCTCCCCCTTCCCCTTTTACTGCCACTTCCCCCTCTCGCCTCCCTGTCTTTCCTCTCTCCTCTCCCTTCTCTCCAGCCCCTTCTCCCCCCACCTCCTCCCCTCTTCCTTCCGCTTCCCTCCCCCCTTTCCTTCCCCTCCCAGCCCCTTCCAGTTTCGCCCGCTTCGGCCGGCGCCGAGCCTGCGGTCCCGAGCCTGCCAGGCTCGGCACGGGCTGGTACGGCAGCGCAGCGATGATACGTTTGGCAACGAGGCAATAGCCGCTGGGGTTGCTGCCTTCAACGGCCAGGATCTGCCCTGGGAAGAGCGAGAAGGACGGCAGATGGCGCAAGTCCAGACGCACCCTGACCCCCTGACAGGGGTCGATGCTGTGGGGAGGGAAGGGTTGGGGTGGTGGGAGAGCAGGAGTGGGAGTGTGTGAGTTGCTCTCTTTCGATTCAACGGCCCTGGGAAGAGCGAGAAGGATGGCAGATGACGCAAGTACAGACGCACCCTCACACCCTGACAGGGGTCGATGCTGTGGGGTGGGGTGGGGTGGTGGGAGCGCAGGAGTGACAGTGTATTAATATCTGCCTTCAACGGCCAGGATCTGCCCTGGGTAGAGCGAGAAGGACGGCAGATGGCACAGATCGAGCTGCACCCGCACGCCCTGACAGGGGTCGATGCTAGTGTGGGGGGGAGGGGGGGGGGGGGGGGGGGGGGGTGTAGTTGTAGGTGGGAAAGCCGGAGCAGGAGTGTGAGAGTTGGGAGTGGGGAGCGCAGGAGTGGGAGTGTGTGGGTTGCTGCCTGCCAGGATCTGCCCCTGGGAAGAGCGAGAAGGACGGCAGATGGCGCAGATCGAGACGCACTCTCACCCCCTCACAGGGGTCAATGCTGTGAAGGGGGTTGTGGGGACAGGAAAGAGGAAAGGTGAAAGCGGAAAGGGAGAAGGGATGAGGGAAAAGTGGAGGAAAGGGTTAAAGAGATGGTGGGATGAACTTTTCGAAACAGACAAAGGGGGTTAAGGCAGGATTGGGAGTGCGTGACTTGCTGCCTTCAACGGCCAGGATCTGATTCGTTAAGGCGCGCTGATGCCGCCTCTGCATCCCAGATTAGACTACGCAGCAGCACAGAATCCCCTCGCTACTACAGGCACTTACATAAGTTTCAGTAGCACTTACCATCCTTCCAGGAGCACTGACGAATCGTTGAGTCGCGCTGATGCCGCCTCTGCGTCGCACACAACACGGCCCACCGCCATCACATTGGTCTGCGAATGAGGATATGGGGATGAGGTGGGGGATGAGGGTGGGAGAGGAGAGGGGGAGGGGGATGTAGGTGGGTTCAGGTGGTACGTTGAAACAAACTTCCCTGATACGATCTCACCTGATACGATCTCGCCAGATACGATCTCACCTGTCACGATCTCACCAGTTACGACCTTACCTGACACGATCTCACAATACAAGATCTCACTTGATTCGATCTCACCTGATACGATCTCACCTGAGAGGCCATAAGGGTTTGCTTCGCGGGATCGAACGTCGGATCCGCCCGAGCAAGCGCCGCTATGAACCGTTGATTTCGTCGCTCCAGCTCATTGGCCTGCGACATCCGTGCATGTGTAGAATTTGAAATCGTAAAGTTATCTTGAGAAAATCTGGAATTTGAATATGTTCTGCATTCGTTGAATCAAGTAAAAAATAAAGAAACGAACGCATTGGAACGGAACGCACCCTGTCCTCCGTACGGTCGCACATGTAACGAGCGTCGCGCGGGACCTCTGCGCTCGCTACAGTCACATTGCAGAGTCTTATTGGCGCTGGTAAGTCCGCTTCATCGTGACCGTCCGTGGCTTTCCACGGCGGAGCCAATAGGGGATTCCACGACGTGACTGTCGTCAGGCTGTTGCCTCGGGCCTTATATTGCATCGCTGCGATCTATAGAGTCGAAGAATCAGCTCGAGACTTGTTCTGTATCGCGGATGTAATTGAACTGGTGCTGGTCGTAGGCTAGTAATGGCCGACACAAAAGCTGATGACACGGAGTGCTGCTTGTTAGGATTGCTGAGGATTGCTTCTCGCGACTTCCGTCAGTAATGTGACTGGGGAACAAAATCACATCACCTAATCGACAGCAGAGGTCCATTCGAGCGCTATGATTGCTTTGAAGTTTGAACGCGCCGTGAGCCGGAAGGAACCCGAAGTTCTTGTGTTGGCTTCAACTCAACAGCTAGTCCTTGTCGCCTCATCGCTCATTGCCATTCGATGCGTCGTTGAAGCTGATCCATTATAGAAACCGATCCCCAACATCATCTCCGTAATTCAGTAAAAAACTTTCAATCTCATACATATGCAATTGCACGGATGGATCACATCTGGTGTATGTGTACACACCTCTCATATCCATGCCTAATTTATATACAGTATATCTACGTACTAGCCAGGAGAGCAGAGTAAGGCACCTGCAAACGCCCAATAAAAAACCTTTCAGGTCCACCACTCTACTAATCAGGCCTAATATATCCATGCATAGACCTTCCCAACTCCAGGCAGCTCAATGTTGCCTTCCTCATCGCACACCTTGTCACACCCATCAGCATTGAAAATCAATATCGACTTCAGGTTTGTAAGGTCCTGCGGAAGAGCCTCCAGCTCCTTGCAATCCTGCAGGTCAAGATTCTTGAGTCTGGAGAGCCTTGAAATGTTGGGTGGCAGCAAGCGAATGCCACTCTCACTTGCCTTCAGAGAAAAGAGGCAAGAGAGCTGCGTTAGAGATGAGGGGAGCGATGTTAGAGATGAGCATTCCGACACATCCAGCTTGCTCAACCTAGATAACGCCCCGATGTGTTCAGGAAGGCAGGCCAGCTTCTGTGCACGAACACATAAGCTTGTCAGCGTCTGTAACTCGGTAATGGACTCTGGAAGCTCGGTCAACTCGACGGCACGAAATATTATGAGCGCTCGTAGGTGCTCCAAGGTGGAGCCAATGTCCCCAGGGAGCTTCTTCATGCTTCCAGCATCCAGAATTGTCAAGGTGCGGAGGTTAGGGAAGAACTTTAAGGGAAAAGGCAGCTCTGCTGAACCTTTTGCCACTTCAAGCTCCAAATGCTTCAGATTGGGGAGGCTTATGCATGCAGCTGACCCATCTGCGGCACTGACGATTCCCAAGCTCAGCTCTTCCAGCTTCAGCAGCATGGTGACGTCTGGCAGCTGGATGGTCTGCTTCTCATTCTGTAAAGTCAATGCCTCAAGCGAGCCTGGCAAACTTGCTGGGGCTTCTGTCAACTGGCTGCACCCTCTCAGCTCCAACTTCTTCAACATGGAAAGCCTTTCGAAATTCTTGGGAACTGAAACGAGGCTGCAACAGTCACAAATTATTAAATTCTCAAGGCTTTTGCATGAAGACATTGACTCTGGGAACTCTCTGAGGTTAGGGCAGGAATGGATGTACACTTCTTGCAGCTTGATTAAGTTGCCAATGCCCTCCGGAAGCTCCGACCCTGAGCACGATTCCAGCTCCAGCCTTGTTAAAGATGATAGCTGGGAAAACGAAGGAGGTAAAACAGTCGGCGTCATGTGATTGGTGCGGAGAAGGAATGTTTGGAGGTTGGTCAGCTGTCCAATGTCATCTGGAAGACTCAGCTCGGGCATGCTCATGAAACACAACGTCTTGAGGCCTGTGAGCAGAGTGAACTGGCTTGGCAGATCGGGTAATTGTTGACAGCGGCACAGAATCAAGGTTTCCAGGGAGGTGAGCTGACAAAACGTAGCAGGGAGAGCTGAGAGTGGAAGAGATTCAAGCACCAGCGTTTTCAAAACGGGAAGCTTGCCGAGGTTTTCAGGCAGGAGAATGTTGCATGCACTGATTGTCAAGCTGTGCAAACAGCTGAGGGTGGTAAGCTGATCTGGCAGAGGAGATTGGAAACTGCTCCATGTGACACTCAATTCCTGTAGGGATGGCTGTAATTCCCCGATTTCGTTTGAAAAGCTCAAGGAGCTGCAAAAGGCCAAAAAGAGCCGTTTCAGGCGGATGCAGCTCAATTCTTCTGGAAACATCCGGTCGAAAGGTACAACGCAGTTACTAACCCTCAACGTCTCTAGAAATTGCAGCTGCGCAAAGGAGAAGGAATTAGTGGGCGAACTCGCTTCTAAGCTGAAAGAGACAACAGGCAGGGTGAGGCTCGTGAGGTTGGTGAGGTGAACAAGGCTGGAAAGCTGTTCAAAGTCCACACTAGAGGCATGCATTCGAAGAGATGCGAGAGAAGATAAGCCCCTCGGCTCTGGATCTTCTAAGAGACGGCACTCTTTCAGCACCAGGGAACGCAGACGGGACAGCCGAAAGAATGAAGTCGGTAAGTGGACGTCATCGCGGAAAAGGCAAGTGCCAAAAAAAACTCTAACATGGCTTGATCGTAACTTTCCAGTTGCATTCGCCTCGCAAAAAAAAAGTTTGACTCAGCGACAGTGGTAGTGTTAGTAACTGCATCCGTAACCTTTCGTCACTTTGTGTCAACACGGTGTGCGGATTCCCGCAACCGGCACGCAAGTGTCCGTGCAACTTTACGAATGGCATACAGTAACCCCGTGCGTAATGGTTGCATTCACGATAACGTTGCTAAAACACCACCCATCACACAAACCTCCAAGCAACCAAAACATGCGGGGACGTACACGTGCCCATGTGTACGTCAGATAGAACCGTACCTGCCACGTAAGCGTACACCGCCAATACCTCCCGAACCTACCATGGCCGCGTGATTGGGCACCACAACATGGAATCCGCACCGTTCACGTATAATGCGCTCCACAAGTCGCCCTACAAGTTACACTTTCGCCAACCCGCACAGTTGCGTCGATTTGGGACTACAGTCTACATCCAGGCCGTACATTTCTGTCGCGTTGAATGCCGCGCACCACTGCGAACCCGCCACGTGCAACCCACTCCGTTACTCGACACATAATACCCACGCGCCTGTACATAACCCGCACGTCCCACATGTCTTCAACACCCATCATCGTACTACGTGTAACCTCATCTCGCAGTGACTTCGCGAGTGGCGCCCATCCAGTTGTATACGACGATGGCTCCTCGCCCAACACTCGAGCAACAACTCAAATGCCGCCACGTAACGCTGACACTTTACGGAAATCGGCCCAGGAATCACTTATGCGTGTGCCTGCAATCCACACGGCTCTTACGCGTCACACCTCCTCGTGCACGTGTCGCCCTGTCGCCATATCGCACCGCTTGTAACATCTTCGCCTGCACCACACATCCTGCTTCGCATAAATCCCGGCATCATGAGAGGCGTCCACAGTGGATAGATACGAACCAACCTTACAACTACACGCGTCACCTTTACGCCTGTCATAAACGCCACCTTTGACCAACACGCCACATGCGTGCCGACACCTGCACTCATCATGTACCGCATATTGTGCGGCGTCAAGCTTTTACGCCAATCATGGCAACCCGCGTGTTGCTCAACGTATGGCCAGGCAGGCCGATCATGTTTGCTCCGACAAATGCGGCGAATTTCAGAAGCGCTTCATTTTCGACACTCATTTGGTCGTTTCCCCACCTACCCACCCCACGCAGTATTTTCATACAAAGAGCACCAAAACCATGTCCACTAGGCAAACACAAAACATGCAACACAATATATTCACGACAAGCGTCTACCTGCCTGCAAACACCGTACACCTTGGCCAACTTCTAGCACACTAAAAAAACCCAAATACGGTTGATAAAAACCAAAAGCGCACAAACAACCCCAACCTCTCCGCTCCAGTGCAGGTCCATGCCCTCCATCATCCAGGCCTCCACCTCCCCGCTGCTCTACTAGTCCCCGACTGACACCGACTGCACATCCTTCCCGGCGCCTTCTCCGCCCCTAGCGCCAGCATTAGGCTTCATGTTCTCCAGACCACAGGCAGAAAGGCGGAGACCATGGCGTCCCCAAATCCATTCCTCCTTCTCGTCGTCGTACTCGGGATTGAAGTGACTGATGGCCTGTGACACAGAGCCCTTCACAAGCACCTTGAGCCCGTTCACGACGTGGCCGTTCCCCCCGGCCAAGTTAGAGAGGCGGCCCATCCTCTGCTCCCAATACATAATGCTGTCGGACAGCTGGAAGGAAATACACAACGCGCACGCCTTGTAAGGCTACAACCATACTCAAACTAACCACCAAAGTCAAACAATGTCACTCACCACGTGCTCCAGCCACCCAAAGTGGTACACCTTCAAAGTGAGCGGCATTGTAGGCTTCCTCGGAATGAAGGCTGCCTTTGCGCACGCTGCAAAGGCGGCAGACGCAAATGGCATCCCCTCGCAGTCGTTTGACCAGTTGCTCAGCACCAGATCTGTACATGGGGCCGCGGATATAATGGTGGGGTTTACAGACTACAACGCACATAGAAAATGTCACTCACCACAGTGTATACGCACAAGAACACCGCTTACCGCTCTCTTCCGCACCAAGCCCAATGCGCTCCCGAATCTGCTCCAGCGTCCGTGCGTTGTCCCTTGCCCACGGGCTTGCCTCGTCGCGCTCATCACGGAAGAATCCAAGCGTAGGGAGCACAATGTCCCTGACCCGTCCAGCTGCCCTTGTCTTCCACTCGCTCAGCGTCTTGTTAAGGTCAGCACGGCGGGACTTGTCCGCCGCAAGCGCAAGGCACGCGAATCTATGAGGCAGTCTGTCAATCACTGCACAAACGCCATATGTCTTGTCGTCTGAGCTTGGATAGAACGTCATGGTTGCGGCCGGCTTCTTCAAGAACAGATGCACTCGGACCAGCTCGCATACGCGCTGCACACAATTCAGGTATCATGGTATATCATGAATGAGTCCAATGCTCCACAACACTCCATCGCACGGCAGGAAACGCACAAACATTAAGTAATGTTACACGATTGGTACCACATCCCACCTTCCAAGCCTTGTCGGCCGGCAGCAGATCAAGTGCGCGTTGCAGAACAGGCGACTTCGCAGAGCGCATGTGCTTCCGACGCGCTGTCCGAATCTGTGCCATGTCTTCGTAGTCGTCGTCTTCCTCCTCGTCGTCATCCTCCTCAACGTCTGCCACTGTTGGGCCGCGACGCTGGCGCTTTGGGTTCATGCATCACTGCCCGGGATCCCTCTGCCGCTCCGCCTTGCGCCGACGGGACCCCCCATCGGACTTCGCCAGCGCCTCCAAAAGCAGAGTTTCCAAGCGGGCCACCTTCTGCGCGCTCTCGTCCTGCGACTTAAGGTGGCTCCTGAATACTCCCGCGGAAACGCGCACTTCCTCGCCATGCGTGTCCATAGCATCGTTGGAGACTCTCGCGTTGCTTTCGAACATCGTGCGCATTGCGTCACCCACATCCTCGTCATCCTCCTCTTCGAAAGCGTTTATATTGTTCACGATGTGTGCCTGTATGCCCCCTTCAAAATCCTCGCCTCGATTCCGGTTCGCCTGACGAGGAGCACCGTCGCTATTGGTACGCGAATCGGGCGAGTCACTCACCAGCGCTTGTTTGCCGACCCTGCCGGGAGAAGCGTCCGATGTCTCGCCCCCCGTATTATATGCGGACGTGGGAATGTAGGCGGTGGAGACATTTAAATGCCGGGCAACACAAATTCCAACGAGGAAGTATGGGGAAGGACAACACTTTCACTTTCCAAACCAGGGATTAAACAGTCAAAAGCCTCGTCATACATTTCTTTAAAACTGCACATCACACCGTCATCACCATCACGAATTGCATTTCCGCCTCCCTCCGCTCTGGTAATGGCCAAAAGCTTTGGCACGGCCGGCACGCGAGTCCCCCTTGGCATGCGTCCCCGAGGAGTTGCAAGCTGATATGCCGCGCGCAGGTACGCTGGGGGCTGGGACACTCGCCGTGCACGCCCCGCGTTGCCAGTATCTTCAGAAGCAACGGACATCTCAATTGTTAACGAATGACATTGTTTGCGTGCACTGTACGCTATCCTAAGTACTCGGATTGAGCTTGCAAAGTATACGGTAACGCCTAAACCTTGCTCACCATCGTCCACAACCATCGACCGAAACCGTTGTCGCCCATCAGGATAAACGGAATCACCGACACCCAGTGGAAGACGACCTCCACGATTTCTGTAATCTTGGTGAGCGAATACAATTCTTCCTCTGTTCACCGTCAACTTCGATCATACCACCCGTACTCTTGATACATTTTTACAGTACTCCTACATTAGTTCCTTCTTTTGCTAGCTATTTCATATCTATTATACATGCACCACAGGAAACAACGCTGTATCAGGCTGTTAATGCCATACTTCATTTAAACTACAAAC